AGCACCCCTCTGTGCGAGGGTCCCTCCCGCCCGCGCGCCCCACCCCGACCCCCTCTGCGCAGGGGGAGGCGCGCAGGCCGAGCAGCGGCGCAACCCACTGGGCCCTCAGCTCTTCTTCCCTCCCGGTCTTCGGGGGACTGGGACGGGGGCCTCTCTGGGATGCCTTCCAGGCCGAGGGGACGAAGAGGCGGCCCAGGAGGCAGATCCGGCTACTCTTTGTTTCTGCTCCAAGCAAAGCGCGGGGCTCAGCCCTGAAAGGGGGCCAACCAATAGAGGAGGGAGGTGTCCTGGGCTCTGGACCCAAGGTTCCCCATCCCAGAAAACCGGCCCTGGCGTCTCTCGGGGACATGGAGGGCCTAGGAGTCTGGGGAGCCCCTACGTCCGCCCAGAGTTGTTGCTCAGGCCTTGCACGGGCCCGGGACTGGGTCGACAAGGGCAGTAAGCTTGGACCACACCTGTTCCCCGGGGCTCCGGAGTCGTCCCGCCCCCCTTCCTCCATCTTTTGCGGCTCCCCAAATCCCCAAACTGAAGAAGTGGCCGGCACTCTGGCGCCTGAGCACCGGGCTACTAACAGCAGCAGCAGCAGCAGCAGCAACAACAAAAAACAGTAACAGTAACGCCGTCATCGTCGGCCTCACCAGCCGGAGCCAAGCAGCAGTGGACCACGCTTGATTAAATCTCACAATTAGGAGCCACTTTCTTAATGAATATTATTACATTTCAGGCGATTTCAGGAATGGCCTTTTATTTTCTGTGGGCGGGCAGCAGAAATACAATGAAGTGTTTGAAATTAATAACAACACGAATGGTGTATCCAGGGCTCACGCGGCCCGGCGGTGGGGCGCATCCGCCAGGGTCACGCACAGGCGCGCGGGAGCTCCGGGCCCCCGCACCCACGCGCGCGCCTGTCTCCGCGGGCGCCGGGCCTCCCCGGCCTGCCAGGCCGCGGGGTCCGGAGGGCGCAACGCTCGTGGCCCGCCTGTGGGCCGCCCGCTCCACGCCACCCCACCCGCCTCTACTGCGGGGTCTGCCGAAGACCTCGCCCTCGGCCCCGCGGGCTGGAGAAGCGCGGAAAGGGGGCCCCGCCGCGAGGCCCGGCGCGGGGGCTGCCGAGCGAGTGTGGGGCGGGTGTCGCGGTGCGGCTGTGGAGTGGAGAGCAGTCGGCGTTGCGCCGTGGCCCTTGGGCGCCAGTCCGTATGCACCTCCCAGCCGCCTCAGCTCCTCTTGGCCGGCGGCGGGTTTCGGCGGAGCCCGGACGTCCCGGGGACGCTTGGGGAGCTGTCTGGGCAGGCAGAGACCGCGGAGGTCGGATATTAAATCAGCGGGAGACAGAATGACTTGTCGCCGAGCGAGAGCCAGCAAACGCGGCCTCCCCGCCAGCCAGCGCTGGGCGGCCGGTGAGCGTATTTGCATATACAGTGTGGGGTGTTTGTTGTGAGCTGAGCGCTGTGCGCCAGGCACACCTGTGCCAGGAGGTCTAGAAGCCCCCATCGCTTTAACCTTTTCACGCGAGGAAAAAAAAAAGTTGGAGTTCTCTTGGAGATTACACTGATTCACCCGCGTGGCTCCTTCCTTGTTTCCCCTAAAGAAAGCACATGGCGGGTCCACACTGGGTGACCCTCAGGCCTGTGTTGACCCTCGGATTCTGACTCCGGCCTGAAGGCTGGACCCTCCTCCTCTGATCACTTTGGGCATCGGAAGAGGAAAGCCCTCTGAACCCCAAGGGGCCCTGCTAGGCCTCTCTGTCTGGTGTCTGGCAGCCCCGCAAGAGCCGCTGCTCAAGCAGGCCCGGGAGGCAACCAGCATCAATACTCCCCCACCCGGGCTCCCAGGTCCCGCCTAGATTTTGCTGGGCTATGGCGGATTGGGGACACAGACAGGCCTGGGCCGTGGCAGCCCTCTGGCCGGAAAGAGCAAGGGCCTCCTTTATAAACGGGCTTTCCTCTGAAGAACATTTATGAAACTGGCCTTCTGAAGGGGAAGCGGTCTGGCCGGGTCTGGCCCCAGGCTCCACCAGCTCTCGGTGCTGCAGTCCTGGTTCAGATCCGAGGCACGTTACGTTAAGCCGTTGAGTCCAGGCTCTGGATCAGAACGGAGCCTTGCCTCCGCTGCAGGCCTGGCTCTGGTCTCCACTTGCCACTAAGAGAGAGGGGGCTGGCTGGTGCAACAGTGGCTCTTCATGAGTCTCAAACTTAGATTGTATACTGAATTAAAAATGTAATAAACATAGAAGCAAAACCAGAATCTTAGCATTTTGAGGGTCTGGGGGTTCATTCAGTCCAATCACCTATTAGAGACAAAAAAAGAAAAACTCCTGATGCCACTGCAGGCTTAATGTTTGCTTGCACTCTTCCAAGGACGGGGAACTCATTACCTTACAAAACTGTACACAGCCCCTCAACAATGTTATGATTTGTGAATAGATTAAAAAATAAGAATGATTGCTTAATGTTGCCATACTGTCTTTTTATTAAAACGAGAGAGTGGTCAATCAGGTAATAGAAGTCCCTGTCCTTTTGTTTAGTGTTTAAAAAATCCTCAGAATTGTGCAGGGGGAGGGGGGAGACACTGGGATTGCCTGAATGATCATGCCCCATTGGCGATGACCCAGGGGCACTGCTGAGACCAGGCAGCTAGGACTCCAGAGCCTCCGTGGTGAGACCCCAGCTCTCTCTCCATCAGTGCATCTTTGCAAATCCTGGGAGTAGCCCCTCTCCTGCCCCAAGACCCAGCTTCCACTTGGGAAGCCAAGGTAGTACCGAAAACACCAGTCTCCTTTGGCAGCCGATGATCCTCATTAGTCTCTGAGTTTCTTTTACTGGGAGAAGAATCTTTTCCAAGCCAGGGAAGGTTGGACATAGATTAGTTGGGCACACCGGGTGCGCTCGGCTATCCTGCCTGGACACACTGGCCATCACCACCCTCCCCAAAACACTACCCGGATGGATGCGTCTGGTCGGCTGGTCAGCTAGGGCAAAGTCTGTCATTTCCTCACTTCTGTCTCTGGATGTGTCCATGTCCTTTGCTTTTGGGGGTTAAAAACAAAACGTAAAAGAGAGCCCTTCCCAAGGGACCAGCATCTCTCGCTCTCCCATAGGAACAGTAGGGAGGCCAGAGACCTGTTGCATTCTGTAGGACTTTCAACAATGATGCAATGAAATAGAACCATACTTTTGAACACTTCCTTCTGGTAAAGAAATGTACTTAAATTATTTTGCTTATTCTATGCTCACACAGGAGAGATATTCAAAGTGTCTTAATTTGTTTTTGTGGTTTTTTTTTTTTAATTTGTACCTCTGGCTGCAAAAGTAAACAGTTGCACCCCTGCTCTGATTGAGGCAAAGGCCAGGAGCGCCTGAACCACAGGGAGGACGCCCAGAGCAGTTGGGCGGGACTTAGAAACACGCTCAGAAAAACTAGTCATGCCACCTTGGACGTTCAATATTTTACAATAAATGGGTTTTTTTTTATTTAATGTAACTTTCAAGAATTTAAACACACAAAAAATGCAAGGGGAATGTTCACAATGCTGATAACCACAGTTGTAAATAGAAACATTCATTTCTCATAAGATTATAAATATTTGATGCTGGAACTGTAAAATGCACATGTTTTATAAACTAAGAAAAATAAAATAAAAAAATAAAAACCAAAAAACTTTGCTTCCTGCTAAGAAGGCATATCATTTCATTGAGTTTCCTAAGCAGCAGATGGTTCTTCACAGAATTTTAAATTACAACTTTTCTTTTTATAGTTTCCTTTTTAAAAAGGTTTGCACTAGTATGTACAAAGTGAAACTATTATCGCAGTGAAATAAAGAGGTTTAAGGCAAAGAGAAACGTTCACCCTCAGTCCTCAGGGGTTCAGCCATGGGTCTGGCTCAGCCACCGGCACACCCTCTGGGCTGTCCCGGCTGCAGATGGACATTTGGACACGATTCTTTTTCCATACACTAACCAGAAGACAGTGCAGAGTTATATATATAGATAATGTGTTTATATATGTACTTGGTGGGGTTATATTGAATATATTTAATTTACACTGTACCACACCTTCAAAAAATAAAATGTATATTAAAAAAAAAACAAGAAAAGACAAAAAGTGATAAGAAATGATTATTTACACATTTTCTTCCTTCTTCTCAATCCTGGAGGATTCTGAGTTCCTCCAGAAGTCAAGGTAGCCACACGCTGGGGAACTGTGGACTCACACACGTCTGCGCGCGTCTCTACACACGGTCCACAGATATGCGCGCGCGCGCGCGCGCGCACACACACACACACACACACACACACACACACACACCTTGAAAGAATGCTCTCCAAAGCAGAAGCAGCCACTTAAAAAAAAAGAAAAAAAGGAAGGGAAGAAAAACAAGAAAGGAAGAAAACACAAGCTCCCGCTGGAGAGCCCTCTGCGCGCCCAGAAGCAGGAGACCTCCGCTGTTTCCGGGGCCCACGGAGCGCCGCTGGGGAGCTGACGGGGCGGCAGGAGACACCCCAGGCCTGGGGGACAGGACAGGGGCGGCTCCACCATCCCTGGGCCTCTGGCCACATGCTGCGCCCATGGGCCTGGGATCCCTGCAACGGTGCCCGGAGGCGAGAGAGCTGGCTCGGGCAGCGGGCGGCTGGAGAGGGGACAGCAACAGACGCGGACTGAAGCACACGGAGGTGCCTGCCGGGCCTCGGCAAGGAGGGGGAGGGGGAGGAGGAACCGGAGAGAAGGCAGGAGGAGGGGAGCCGCGCGAGGCTGGGGGCCTGGGGGCGCGCTCCTGACTGCCACCAAGGCGCGGCACTCCTCCCAGGACCCCCACGGTCCCCCGGGGCCCTGCCAGGGCCCCTGCGCTGCTGCCATCCCCCCTCCTCCGCCCCCCCCCTCCCGGGGCCGGGGCTGGGGGTGCAGACCCTCCTGCTGTCCTCACCAAGCCCACACAAACAAAGTGGCAGAACTCAGAGACCAAGTAGGAGCTATTTATTCGGTTCACAGTCGTGTGAAATGCAGCAATAAAAATCTTTGGACTTCAGCAAGTTGTTTTAATTTTTTTCTTCTTTTGAAATTAAAAAATAAAAGTGTCCCATGTCCCACAATGGAGCCTAGGGGATTAGAAAAGATGAAACCCTAAGCAGCCCCCTTCGCAAAAAAAAAAAAAAAAATCATAAAATTAGCATAATCTCATAAACACAGAAAAACTCAAAAAATATTTTATAGTCAGATATTTTGGATTTTACACCACCTGTAAATTATATATACATAGAATATTGCAGAACCATAGCTAATACACGATATTTTCACTATTAATGCTGGTATAATCTTTATACACTGGCCCTTTATGATTTTAAATTATTGCATTGTTTAGCGCGGACCGAGACCAGACTCCGGCGCCCGCCCGCCCTACTCGCTGTCCGACTTGCCCTCCTTGGCGGTGGTGGAGTGGTTGTACAGACCCTGCGCCATGAGGTGCACGGCCAGCGTGTTCTTGTTGCCCGTGGCCTTCTTGATCTTGGCGCGCTTGTTCTGGAACCAAATCTTGATCTGTGACTCGTTGAGGCTGAGCTCCTGTGCCAGGCTCTGGCGCCGCTGCTCGGTCAGGTACCTGTTGGTCTGGAACTCGGCCTTGAGCCTCTGCAGCTGCTCTGCCGTGAAGGCCGTGCGGGGCCGCTTGTCTTCTTTGTTGGGGTTCTTCTTCTTTGGTTTGCGAGACCTGGGACCTGGGCACGCACAGGGGACAGAGCACAGGGTTAGGAGGGCTCCAGGCCTGTCTGCCAACTCAGGCCGCAGAGATCTGGGAGGAAAGTGCCCAGTCCGGCTGCACACTGGGGACTGAACTTTCTCCCACCCGGCCTCCAGGACCCACCCCTGGAAAGCCAGAAGCCAGGCCGAGGACATCAGGGTGTGAGGGGGTGAGTGGGGGTAGAGAGCAGGCTTAGTGGAAAGGTCTCCAGGGGCACCTGGCTGGCTCAGTTGGAGGAGCATGCGACGCTTGATCTCGGGGGTCACTCAGAGTTCGAGCCCCACATGTGGCACAGAGTTTACTTAAGATTAAAAAGAAGAAGAAAGAAGGGCCTCCAGATAAAAGGAAAACTCCTGCAGGAAAGCAAAAACCCCAAACTTCCTAGCATGGCCTTTTCTGTCCCTTTCTGTCCAGGCATAACGGCAGGGGGGCACAGGAGAGGCAAGAGGAAAGGTTGGGGGAGGGGCGGGGCAGGCCGAGTAGCAACAGTGGGAGCCCAGGGAACAGTGATAGGATGCCCACAGGATGCCCACAGGGGATAGCCTCAGGTGCCAGGGGCAGTGGGAGTCAGGGGGCAGGTGCATCCAGAGAACAGGACAAGCCCGTGGATCTGCCTCCACCCTAGCCCCCTTTCTGCCTCCCCTAACTGGCCTAGTGGGCCCAAGTTCATTGTTTCTCTCCTGGAGGGGAGGGAGCGCACGGACCCTTTCCTGGGTGGGGAAGGAGCACTGAGCCACTCCCCGTCACCTCCCCTTCAGTCTCCCAGTGCAGGAGAGGGAACCTGGTTGCCCCAGACTGGGGTTGCCTCCCTGGAGGCCGGAGAGGAGCCCAGCTGACCTTGTGCAAAGGGTTCACACTTCTGACCCCCGCCTGGGCTCCTCCCACTGGGACAACCCCTGCACCACTTGAGGTTGGTTTGAGGCACCACTTTGCCAGTGGTGGCAAGGCTCCTAGGACCCCGCCATCTGAAAAGGCCTGAGTGAGGAGAGCAGAAAGGAGGGCCAAGCGCTTTCTTTTTGTTGGTGTCAAGAAGTTCAGCCCCACAAGGGTGTCTTTGAGGGAAGAGATGGCAAAGGCCATTAGGGGAGGAAAGCTAGGCTGTACGTGTGGGTTTCTTACTCTGTGAAGTGAACCAACTTTGGGGAGCTCCGGCCCCAACTCCTTCCCAGACGCCCGCGGCGGGAGGCTGGACCCCTGCCGGCTCCCTCAAGCAGCCGGAGCCCCCCAGGTCTCCGCCGGGGGCCCACGAGCCCACCCTGCAGGGCCAGGGGACAGCCCCGCCGCCCTGCGCAGCAGCGGCGGAGGGATCTCGCCGTACGCTCTCGGTGCACCCGACCCGAGCCCGAAATGTGGAGAGGGTTGAGTGCTCCGCAGGTCCTGAGACCCAGCGGGCGCCGAGAACACCCTGCCCGCCTACCCAGCCGTGCGCTCTCGGGAGGCAAACTCCGGTAGAGGGGCTGTGGCCGCCGGCGAGGGGGTGCCAAGGGCCGTTCGGCTCAAACTCCCGGCCTTTTAGATTCTAGAGCATAGCCACGCTCACACCCGCGCCCCCGCGCACACACCTACCCCCCGCGCGCGCACCTACCCCCGCGCGCGCGCACCCACCGCCACCGCCACGCACACGCCAAGGGCGCCGGTTCCGCGCCGGCCGGCGGGCTTTGATCGAGAGGCTGCCGGGGCGCGCGCGGAGGGTTACGTACGGGTGGCTCCGCTAGGCCTCAGGAGGCCCCGCACCTGCTGGGACCCGACCGCGGCCTCGTGCTCCGGGAGCCGGTTCTGCGTCTCCACTGTCCCGGGGAAGCACGCTTCCTACCCTCCAAATTCCCCTGGTCCTGGGGCTCTTGCACACACGAACCAGCCCGTAAAAAGATACACACCATTTTGCGGAAAGAAAATCTCCCTAAAAACAGAATTTTTAGTTCTCTTTCTTTGATTTTCTTTCAAAACGTAAACACTTGAGAGTCGCAGAAACAGAAGCAAACCCCGGCAAAGAAAACTCTCTGCCTTGCTTCTTTCTAAAAGGCCAAGAAACACAAATGTTACGTTATGGTTTTCTGGGTTTTTGTTTTGTTTTTAAGTCCAGGAAGACCAGCGACTGGCGCCCGGCCGGGTTGCGGGGCTCCCTCGGGCCACCGGGGCCTGGCGCGGCCGCGACTCCGCCGCTGCACAAAGCCGGGCCGAGGCTCCTCGCTGGCCGCATTGTGAGCCTATATGTTAATTAAATATTAACAAAGGAGGGAGGCGAGAACAATGGAGCAAATTTCAGATCTAGCTGGAGAAATGTGGATTTCATCAGAAATATATACACACATTTCTGCGGGAAGGCGGCCAAGGGGAGACTCAGTTATGCTGTGATTTGGGTAAACAACCCCCGCAAAACAGTTGAGGGTTGGGGGGGCAGCGGGGTCCGGTCTGGGCTGCCGACTCAGGGACAAATGGAGTCCCCTCCTAATGGCGGTTCGCAGCCGCAGACCCCCATTTCATGCAGCTGATGATTTCTACAAGGACGTGCATTTAGCTTTTAAGAATCCAGATCTATGAAAAATACACCCAGAACCCCTGCACACACCCGCTGGCCCCTCCACCCACCCTCCCGCGCAGAAATCTGCTTCTTTTCTCCCTGAGAGGTGCCCCAGGAAACCTCTGGGAGAAGGTCCTTTCTTTGGGGGACCGCAGGCCTCCCTCCTCGGAGCAGTGTGCAAGATGGGTGCTGAGCTTCCCCACCGTGTGATCAGACAACTAAAACCGGGCGAAGGGCCCCTGTTTCCGTGCCTTCCCTATCTCTATCCCCCCCCCCCCCAACTCCTCCCTTCTCAGCCCAGGCGAAGGGTGGAAGGAAGAGCCTGGAGCCTTGCTCTTTCTTCCCGGGCTTCATCTGGGATAACTGGATCGTAGGATGAGCCTAGAACTGGGGTGAGGGGGGCAGGGAGCTGGGCATGGGTCCTGGGTCTGGACTGAGTTGGAAGGACAGAGAAAGAGTTAAGGGTGCCAGATTCTAGGCTAGTCTTCCAGCCACCCCCGGTCTCACCAAATAAACTCCAGCCAGGGGAGGGGTGGGCTAGGGACTTTGGGGAGTGACCCCCAAAGGCAAGATAGCGAGGGAAGGTCCTGTCGCTTCTGCTTTTCTAAGAAATCTGTACCCCCCTGCGAATGAATCGGGCCCCCTCTCCTCCTGGCCGCTGCCCCGGCCAGCGTCAGCAGCACACAATGTCCCTGTTTGTGTGTCTTTGTGTGTGTTGGGGGTGGGGGGTGTCCTGGTGTCTTCTTCCTCTGGGTAAGTTCCCGCGCCAGCGCCGCCCCGCAACCCCGCGGGCCTCCCCGCGGCGGGCTCACCTGAAGAAGGCCGGTCCGAGTAGCGCGTGCAGTAGACCCAGGCCGGCCAAAGCATGGGCTGCGCGCCCAGGTTGGCGCTGGCCTGCGAGCTGTCCGAGTCCGAGCTCACCGATAGGTCGCCGCCGCCCAAGGCGCGGGCCTTGAGCGCCCCGTCCAGGGGGCCCCCGGCGTCGCCGCCTTTCTTGGCGCCGCCGTGCAGCGAGAGCGCCTTGGAGCCGCCTTCCCCGTCGCCCGGAGAGTCGCCGCCGCCGCCGGGCAGCGGCCCGCCCGCACCGGGCGCACTGGGCACGTTCTGCCGGGCCTCTCGACCCGACCCCAGGAGCTGTTCGGCGCCGCCCGCGCCGCCGCCTCCTTCCGCGCCGCCCGCGCCGCCTTCCGCGCCGGCTCCACCGCCTCTTCCCCCTCCCGCGCCGGCACAGCACGTCCCCGTGTCCTTTCTCCGGCCGAACTCGGGCCGCAGGATGTTGTCGATGAAGAAGTTGGTGATGCGGTGCGGGTGCTGGTGGTTGCCTGGCGCCTGCAGGACCGCGGGCAGCATCAGAGCCCGCCGGCGGCCAGTGTCCGCGTCGCCCGGGCTGCTGCCGCCGCCCGAGCCGCCACTGGGGCTGGATTCCGGCTGTCGCTGCCCCTCCACCGCCGCCGCTTCGCTGGGCTTGGGGTCATTCTCCTCCATGCTGTTCACAACAAATCCCAAATTGGTTCTCCGGGGACCCCCCCCCTCCAATCAGCCCTCGGCCCGCCCGTGGTGCGCACAGAGACACTCGCGGCCGGCTCGCGCTCCTACCCCGCCGAGTCTTCCGAGGGCGTGCGCGGCGGCCGAGGCCAGGGCTGGGGTCCTACAAGTCACCGGCCGCGTTTGGAGCGGAGCCACGTTCCAATCCACGAGTTGAATTAGAAAATACCAAGAGTCTCCC